GGCCATTAGGTCATAGCAACTGACTATGTAAATAAAATGGCAGCACAACCCAAGGTAAATGTAAGGTAGTGTACCCCACTTTCACTGATTAGCAAACTACCTCACCCTTACCAAAGCACACAGGCAGTTATCACCGAGTACCTGCCATACTGTAAATTCACACCCTTGCAGTAACGTGCTCACACAGCCATGCCATACAAGAGGTAGGGAGAAGGTGCATTGTTGCCTACTGTTGGAGGCCAAGTTGCCATAGCTGGCAGAGTCAACACAGGGCATTGCAGCATGCTCCTCCCCCTCACCCCACTCCTCTGAGCTCCCTGATTACAACCCTTTCTTTTCTTATCATGAACACAATGTTCCCACTGAGGCAACTTCCATTAATGCAGCCCAGGTCCCTTTCATTAATACCAGAGATTTGGAACGGGAGGTTTCTTGGTGTTTTTCCCTTCCTTTCTGGCAGAGAGCAGGTGGTAAAATAGCCCTTGATCTTATCAGTAAACATTCCCAGAGCCTGGAGGGCCTCCCAGGGCTATCACTCAGCTTCCCGGCACTGATACTCACAAACCGCTGGAGATATTTTTCTCACGATTTATGAGGTTAGCATCGACTCTTGGTTGAATTACAGCCTTTTATTCAATCAGGTGCATTTGATTTCTGGTTATATTGTTATAACTCTAATTAGTTCAAAACAATGCAGGAATGGAGAGGGAATGAAATGAATCACATTAACTCTATGATGGCTGACACTAGAGCCAGACCTACTGGCCCTTGGAGCCCTGGCACAAAGTGAAGCCCCAGTTCCTGAACTGTGCTGCTGCCCATCAGACTCATCATGAGACTGGCCAGAGCCTCACTGTGCTTGCTCAGTGAAGGCAAGAGAGGGCATGATCCTGGCCACTACCCACTCCCTGTCTCCAGACTGACCCTAGTATCAAGGCTGAATGCTTGAGGGATTTCTGTCCTTAACCGCATCATCCACACGTAATCTGCACCAGGCCAGCTGCCACTGAACCACTGACCAAGAGGTGCCGTGTCTAACTTGGGTCAGGCAGATGCCACTTCGGCTGTGCATATTTGCATTGCAGGCAGGAAGCTTTGTGACAGTTCTTCTGTGCTTCAGCAGTTTCCCCCCACCCACCTCTCTCTAAAGTTGTTAAATTTTCTTTTGTGGTATTGAACTAGGTAGGAATAATCCATCCAACCCCCACCCCAGGCCAGGCACCAATGCCAGAGATTCTCCTTCTGCACTTTGGCAGATTCCTAAATGTGCCCTTAAATGTGGCTCAGGGACAGACAGATTTCCTATACTCCCCCCAAACTGAACTACATAACACATG